AGAGTGAAGAGGGATAAGGGATGATCACAGGTAGCTACACAGCGAATACGCAAGCTTAGGGTAGCGAAGTGACTGTATTTATCTCTGCCTTCCTTAACTCCTTCCCTAGATTTTAGGTCTTTTATAGTGTTGTTGCTAAGCTAAGGGCTTCGCAACCCTTAGCTCGCGCCCCCGTAACGTGGCCGGTGCGCGGCCGTTGCGCGACCGCGCCCTCTTTAGATGGGCTCTGACAAAATTATTATATAATAATTATAAACTTACCTAAGCCCTTAAAAATAACTTTAAGGGTAAAAAGAAAATATATTTTAATAAAATATTAAGAAAACTTTAGTTAACTTATATATTTTTTTACCTAAACCTTTTTTATAATTAATTTAATTATATTATTAAAAATTAACTTAAATAAGTATACTAACGCTTTATAAAACCTTTTTAAATAAATTATAAAAGTAATTAATAAAATTAAATATTAAAATAATTATAATATATTATAGTAGTTAAAAAAGTATAAAACTACTTATAAGATTTATAAAAAATTAATAAATAATTTTTCTATTTTAAAGGTAATTTATAAAACCTTTAGAAATATTATATATTATAGTAAATAAATTTATTAAAATAAAATAATAATAAAAGTTAGTATTATTAAAAATATTTAGTTAATTACTAAGTAGTATAAGGTAATAAATTATTTTTAACTACTTTTTTTAATAAATAAAAATAAAAGTATTTTAAATTTTATAAAAAAAGTAACTTTTGTTAAAAATAAACTCCTTAAGTATAAAATTATAAAAAAAATATTTTAAACCTATAGGAAAAAGACTTTTTAATTAATAAAAATATTTACTAAAATTAAATAATAATAAAGTTAAAGGTTAAAAAAGCTATAACTAAGTTAAGTAATATTATACTTAGCGTAAATAATATATTAATTACTCTTTTATAACTTACTTAACTTATTATTAGTAAATATATAATTAACCTTTTTTATAAATACTTAATAATAAATAATTATTTACTTTTTTTTAAAGTATAAAAATTATTATTATCCTTAAACTTAAAAAGTTAAAGAAAGTATATATTATATATAAAAACTATAAATTTATTTCTTTACTTTTTTATATAAGTAAAAGCTTTAAAAAAATTTTAATTAAAAAAATCTTTTTTTTAATAATAAAATATAAAATATTATTAAAATAATATTTTAAAGCTTTTTTAAAAAAGTTTATAATAAACTTAATTACTTACTTATTATATAATACTAAAGTTACCTTAGCCTAAAGTTTTTTTTTTTTTTTTTTATATTTAATATTTTTAATATATTTAATATTATTATATATAATTACCTAATATATAAACTTAGGAAATAAAAATAACTCCCTTTTTTTATAAAATAAATTAACTTTTTTATAAATACTTATAAAACTTTTATTTAAAATAACTATAAAGGTATTTTTTTAAAAATAAAGTTAAAATATAAAGCTTTATAAAGGTTTTTTATTTCCTTTATTTTTATATTTTACTTTTTCTTTAGCTTAAAACTTAATAACTTTAATACCTACTTTAAATATATAAATAATATTAATATTATAGTAGTAAAAGTTAATATTAAAAAAACTATTTAAAAACTTTAGTAAAAGTTAAAAAATACCTTAAACTAAGGTAATAAAAATATAATCTCCTTTAACTTAAATAAAACTAAATTTATATATTTTTATAAAATTAAAACTTAAATATATAATAAAAAAGTAAATTTTAAAAAAAAGACTATAATCCTTTAGAACTTAGTTTATTAATTAAAGATATATTTAAATTTATAACTTTTTTTAAAAAAATACTTTAGGATTATAAAAAAAAAAACCTTTAAAATAATTAATTTCTTAAAATCTTTAAATAAAATATAAAAAGAATTTTTATTAAATATAATAATTATAATAGCTAAGGTTTATATTACCTTTATAACTTTATATAAAATAAAAGCTTTTTAATTTAATAAAAATAAATAAAATATAATAAACTTAAATAAATAAGTAAAAATAAATATAATAAAATTAATTATAATTTTAAAACTTTTTTTTAAAATAGTAGCTAAAGTAGTTATTCTTATATAAAAAATAATTAACCTTTTTATTATATATAAAAAATTAAAAAAAAAATTAATATTAATATAAATAGTATAAACTAAATTTTATATAATAATATACTTTATAAATTTAAATAAGAATTACTTAATTAATAAATATATTAATAAAAAATTCTTTTTTAAAGTTTTTTTATTTAATTATAATATACTATAGCTTTAGTAAAAAAAATAATTTAATTTTTTTTTTATTAAAAATAATAAAGTAATTTAAGTAAGCTTAAACTTTAAAAGTTTATTAAAGTTAAAAGTAGTAGAAAAATATTTAAAATTATTTAATAACCTCTTTAGGTTTACTTTTTTTACTTACTTAAATAGTATATAAAATAAATAAAAAAATATAAGCTAAGGAATTATTATATATTATAATTTTAAAAAAACTATAGTATATAGCCTTTTTATTAATATAAAAGTTTATAATACTAAAGTAGTAAATATTTTTAAAGTTTTAAAGTTAATTAAAGTATATACTTTTATAAATTTAAATATTTAAAATTTTTTATTTTTTTTAAATAATTTAGTAATAGTAAATAAAATACTAAAGTTAACTTTTATTTTATTTTAAAAAGCTTATATAAAGTTATACTAAATTACCTAAAGACTACTTTTATAAATAATTATAAAAGTAATTTAAATTTTAAGTTATAAAAATATATTAAAAAATAAAAAAGCTAATTAATTAATAAAAAAAGTTTAAAACTTCTTTATTATTTAAAAAACTACTTTACTATTACTTTTATTAAAAAATAAGTAAAAAAGAAATATAAAAAAATATAAAATAATAACTAAAGTAATAATTATTTAAAGTTATATAAAATTAATAAATAAAGCTTTTATAAAGCTTTTTTTATATTTTTAAAATTATATTTTTTATATTTAATTTTATATAAGTTATTAATTAAAATATTTAAATATAAAAACCTTATAAAATATTATAAAAAATTTAAATATAATATTAAGTTTATTTATAAATATAAAAAACTAAAAATATAAAAGTATTTTATAAAATACTATATAATAGCCCTTTTTTTTAATATATTAAAAAAAAAAGTATATTTTAAAATTACTTATATTTAATATTTCCTTAATAATAAAAAGTATAAGGACTTTTAAAAATTAGTAAAAGAAATAAACTTATATAGCCCCCCCCTTATAAAAATAAATATATAAAATAAATTAATATTTCCCTATTTCCTTTATTATATTAAAATATAATAAATACCTAATTTAAACTTAGTAGCTTTTACTATTCTAATACTTAAATAAGGATTTATATAATTAAATTACTTAGTAGACGTTAATAATAAAATAAATAAATAAATAATTACGCTAGCAGGTTTGCATTCTATTAATCCGAACTATTACAACCCACGTATGCGGACAGCACGATTTTGTTAATTGAGCCGACCGCCGGTGGTAATTTCTAATGAATGTTTTCATAAATCTAATTTGACGGAGATATAGGCTACACCACATTAATAATTAGAACTTGTTGGCATGTAGTGAACACTCATTGGGCAGGAGGGGCCAAAAGGTCCGGAAGCCAAGAACAGGTGGTTGGAATCACTCCATTATCGAGACTTCAAATACATGTGGAATCTCGCTGCAACTGAGAAAGTTGGTTCTCCTTCATCAAAACTCAACTTGACACTTGTACACCATATTGACCCTCATATTACATCACTCATCATGGCTTCCCCAACTGCCCCTTTGCTTCGTCGCCTAGGCAAAGACGGTCCTCTGATACCTGCCATAGGATTCGGTACAATGGGCATGAGCATAGCATATGGACCAGCAGCGTATGGCTACCCAAAGCACACTCCGAGCCGTTGAAAGACTATGAACTGACAAACGCAGGTCGGATGCTGAACGCCTCGAGCTTCTTGACCGCGCATGGGCACTCGGTTGTACAAATTGGGACACGGCGGACGTCTACGGTGACAGTGAGGATATAATCGGAAAATGGTTTGCGCTGCACCCCGAGCGCAAAGACATCTTTCTCGCCACGAAATTTGGCCTCAGTGTTGGAAACGATTATAGCATTAGCGTCGATTCCTCGCCGGACAATTGCGCCAAATGCTTCAAACGCAGCTTAGATCGGCTTAATGTTGACTATATCGACTTGTACTACTTGCATCGCCCCAACCCCAAAGTTCCGATCGAGAAAACCATCATGGCGATGCAAGAGCTCGTGAGGTACGTAAAATATTTCTCACACGCAATCCACGATTAATTCTTCAAGACGATGAGCTCATATTTTCACTTTTACATACAGTCAGGGTAAGGTCAAATACTTGGGTCTCTCAGAGGTATCTTCAAGCACCGTCAGACGCGCCTACAATGTGCACCCGATTTCGGTTGTGCAAGCAGAATATAGTCCATGGACACTAGACATCGAGGAATCCCAGGGCACGAACCTCCTTGCCACATGCCGCGAACTTGGAATCTCAATTTTTGCGTATTCACCGCTCGGTAATGGCATCATGACGGGCAGATACCGGTCAAGCGCTGACTTTGGCCCCGGTGACGCTCGGGTCGGCATGAAGCGCTTCCAAGGAGAAAATTTCCAGAAGAACCTCGAGCTAGTTGATAAGTTAGCAGATGTAGCTAAAGCAAAGGGCTTCGAACCTGGACAACTGGTTCTGGCATGGCTCCTAGCCCAAGGAGATGACATTTTTGTTGTCCCCGGAACGAAGAACATCAAGTATTTGAAGCAGAACTTCGCCGCTTCAGGTGTGGGTATATCAGAGGATGAGAAGCGGTCTATAAGGGACTTGGTATCTGCTGTTGGATTCAGCGGAGGTAGGGACACCACTTATGGATCTTACATTGATACGGTCGCTCTTTGAATTGTTATACTTGGGGCAGCATGTATTCTTATTTTCTATGCTGAGACTAGAGGAAATTCCATGGGCTATGGGAAGTTGTAATGCTCGTCGAGTGGCTTGTTTCTTTCCGCTTTATTGGCAGTTTTTACAAAAGCCCATGCCTGAATGGCGTAGACTTCGATATTCAGGGTATATGCTTTATAACATTGAACTGAGTGGTGATTGAGTAGATGCATGTTCTCACAGTGATGTCCAATGGGAAAGTGGTCTCCAGTTCCGTGTCCGTTCGTATAAGATGGATTAAGCAAGGGCTCAGCGATTACATCATATCACCCTTGATAAAGCATTTGAGGTCTGCTTAATTATTCATCACCGTGTAAGAGATTACGCAAATTCTGCCTTTATGTTCGTGCTGATAAATATATCGACCCCTACTTCTGACTGGATCTTGCGGCGGCAGGCGGATGTGGGTCTCCGCCGCAGATGTCCCTGGGTTATACTAGGTGAGGCGATCCCTTTTGATGTACACTAAAACACTTCAGGGTCAGGGACTCAAAAGAAACTATTATGTGGACAATCTAGGAGTGTGTAGATTCTATAAGTAGATGTCTACGCAGCCATGTTCACAAGAATGTCATCAGCATCTGTATAGAGGGCACATTTGAGCGGCACAATGTTTGATACACTACGGGACTCTTTGTTTGGCTAGGCCGTGCGGCTGATGTGCCAAAATCGAATCTTACGTTATCCAGAAGAAACGGCGGGATTTGATCCTGAAGAATGGCTCCAACCGACATCTCCAAATGATGGAACCAGTCCTCCAAATCGGGTTATAACAACGAGTGAGGTCACAATTGAGATTGGTTCTACATCTTGCGATACGAATGGGCTGCCGAGATCGTTTCGGCAGAACTCAACGGTCAATGCCAGTTACTATTTAGTTGGCTGGTACGGAGATGGTTTGTCTAATGCCCATAGCACATCCTTTGACGCTCACATTGAATAGATGACCCCGAAAACCCTCGAAATTGGAGTCTTACCAAAAAGCTCGCTCTGTACGCTATTATATGGTAAGCTTTGCGCCCCATAAACAGAATATGATTTGACTATAGAAGTGTCTACGCATTTTGTGTTTATCTCGGTTCATCTATCTACACTGCGAGCACTGCCGGCGTTATGAAGGAGTTCGGAGTGAACTATGTACAGGCAACGCTTGGTTTGGCCATGTATATACTTGGTTGTAAGGAACCTATTGCCCCAACAAAGAATTCGGAACAGCTAAACAATATTATACAGATGGGATTGGTCCTTTGCTATGGTCCCCATTGAGCGAGTGAGTAGTCCAACCGGAGCGAGTGATGTACCTAATCAAACTTTGCAGAATTCCAGCTGTCGGCCGTACCCCGCCGTACGTGCTCACATTCGCGGTTTTTGTTGGTTTGTGCGTTGCAGCGGCCACGACAAAGAGTTTTGGCGGTCTTTGTATCTCAAGATTCCTTATGGGTTTCTTTGGTACGAGAGATGAACACATACTTTTGAAGACGTGCCTCTGACCCGGTCTCTAGGTTCGCCAGCTTTAACGACGGGTGCGGCAACCTTTCAAGATCTGGCACGTCTTTAAATTGTATTATCACCATAGATGTGCTAATTATTTAATAGTTTGCTCCCATCAAAATGCCTTATTTATTGGCCCTTTGGGGTGGCTCGGGTATGTGAGAGAGTCTACTTGATCGCCGTTTCAACACTTTCTGACGCCATTTCTCTTTTCTTTCTTTGTTTAAATAGCCACTCTCGGACCGGCTATTGGTCCAGTCGTAGCTGGCTTCAGTGTTCCTAGAGAAGGCTGGCGTTGGTCACAATGGGAAATGCTTTGGTTTGCTGGCCCGCTTCTTGTCTGCCTCTTCATCTTTCTGCCCGAGACCAATCCAGAAAATATCCTAATGCACCGAGCACAACGCCTACGCCGAATAACGGGATGCACAAATATCAAATCGGAGTCAGAAATTAAGCAATCACACATGTCTCCACGGGAGATTGTATACTATGCTCTCATTAAGCCATGGGAAATCAACGCACTGGACCCCTCCGTGCTTTTCACTACGATCTATATATCGCTGGTCTACGCTACTTTTTATTCGTTTTTCGAGTCATTCCCCTTGGTCTACCCCGTTATATACGGTTTCAATGAGGGCCAAACCGGTCTGTCATTTATGTCTGTTATCGTTGGATTGGCGATATCAATCCCTGCTTATTGCATATATTACTATTTCTGGGTGGAACCAAGAGTCCTCAAAGATGGTTGGGGTGAGCCCGAAGATAGGCTTAAACCTGCCATTCTTGGCTCTTACATGATTCCTGTGGGTGTGTTCATATTTGGTAAGTTAGCTGATCTAATAAACGGTAAATGGTCAGAAAACTTATGCAATGTTTAGCATGGACAACACGCCACAATGTCCATTGGATGCCTGGTATTGTTGGCGTGGGGATCAACAACGCTGGGCAGTTTTTCATTCTTCAGCCTGTATTCATGTATCTGACAATGACATACCCTCAATTCGCCGCCTCTTTGATGGCTGCAAATGACTTTGCAAGGAGTGCTTTAGCCGCGGGAGCTGTTCTTGTTTCACGGCCAATGTTCACACACCTCGGCGTGCCAGGTGGAGTGAGTCTGCTGGGTGGTCTCAACGTTATCTGCATCGGAGGAGTATACATCATGTACTACTTGGGACCAAAACTCAGGGCACGAAGTCGATTTGCAGCAACTTAATGGAGTAAGAAGAAAACAGGACGTAGGTGTACCTAGACTATACTAGGTACTTGCCTCCTACAGATAATTCAGACCATCATATCATGTAAAACATGACATTAAAACATGTTGGCAAAACCATCTTCAATAACAAATAGCGACGCCTAATTTAAGCTGATTTACTCTGGCCGGGAAGTTCATTATCCCTCCAGGGTAGGTGTGTTCGTGGCCTTTCTTCATGCCTCTGAAAAGGGCCAGGATGGCACATCTACCACTCATTTTGACCTATATGGTTAACTCATCCATGATGTCGTCATTCTCACTGATGGTGGCCAGAGGCTTTTCCGAACCAATCTCATGTGTAGTGATACAAGGAGGTATATCTCGGAAAGTTATCTCCCATGGGTCCTGTTGAAGACGGCTTTCACGGCTAAATCTGCGGTAATATATACTTGTGGATACTCATGGAGATAATTCACAAGCGAGATGTTAGTAGACGTATGTACTCGAATGGGTAGGTGCTGGAAGAACGGAAATTCTATTGTCTACCGCCTGCTACCGCCCTGCAACCCAGTTGCGTTCCCCTTCTAGAGGATATCTTGTGAAGAAGCTGCTTCTGATGGGTTGCGGAGTCTAGAGTAGACTTGCAAATTCTGGTGGAGGTGGGGCTCCGCTTCTGTTCCCACTGACACGCACCGGCTTCCCTTCTGGCCCTACGATGACGAATAAGCTGATTGAGTCGAGCGGATGTGGAGCTCCGCGGCTTCACCGGTTCGGTCACTGGTGTCTCACTGAAGGGGGAAGCAAAGCTAGCTCCGACAGAGCCGAGTGGTTCGTCGTAAGAGACCCCCCGCCGTGAATAATACTGCGACATCCTTCGCCGTACTCTAACTCCAGAGTTCATTCAGAATCTCAGCTAACTGCCATGAGGCTTGCGAAGCTTGTCGAGCGCGCAAGAGAAAATGCGACGAGCAAAGGCCCAAATGTGCACTCTGTCGACGACTCAAGATAGATTGCCACTACAAAGATCGCACTCTCAATAAGTAGGCACTGTAACCTTATGGCAACTAATCAAGGCTTGTTTTTAACTGTTACACAACAGAGCAGATACACTGTCTGATATTTTGACCGTTTTGCAACAAGTCAGTGACGGAGTCAACGAGATCTTGTCGGCAAACACAGTAGCCCATGCTCGTCATACATTCCAAGAGCAAAACGGCGTTCGTCCATCAACATCTAGCATAGGGCAGCCCTCTGAAGTACCTTGTGTGCTTTCTGCGCCCCTATACAAGAATGAGTTGCATACCGACCATGCTGACGCTGAGCTCGCCGTAGCTTACCGTCACTCTACAGCAACTCACCAACTCTTGAAATGGCCGTTCGTGTGGCAGTCTCTTCAAAGTCGGTTAGATAGATCTCAGAACATAATATTTGACAGCGGGATAGATTGGTTTCTATCAATACACCATAGTAGCAGCGACAACCAGTTTCCTAGTCGCCTATGCTCACCCGCCGATATCAACGTATCTCATCCCTTGGTAGACATTACATACTCCAATACTATGAGATACGCGAAGACGTATTTCGATACATCCAATTATATGCATCCCCTCTTAGATCGGACCATCTTCTTTCAGGAAACGTTGCCGACGGCCATGGGAACAGTCTTGAAAGCGACTCATCGAATTGGTGATGAATCATTGCTCATAACGCTACTGGTTCTTGCTCTGGGTGAGCTCGCTCTGAGTATAATCATGAATGACCGAGAATCTACGGAGCATGACCGGCACCTGTCCCAATCTCCTCCTGGATTGAAGTACTTCAATGAGGTCCGCAAGAGATTGGGGTTTCTACATTTCAGCCCTTCACTTGCGATTGTGCATATCGAGGCGATGACATCGTATGGCTTATTTAACCCAATGTTAGCGTCTATCAGCTAACCAGAACGATATGTAGCCTCTATTATGCAGCGTGTTTTCGACATATGGTGAGCCATGATGATCACAGTCATTAGCATACACTGGCTAATTTTTAATCGGCAGGATTCGTGGAGAATGAGTGTCAAAGCGTCAGAAAGCTGCTATTTACTTATCAAAAGGTGATTAATTCGACGTCATATCTTCCGAAGGCTCAGCTGACTATGGCTACGTACAGTCGGCAGCATGACTGGGAAAGTGGTGAAAGAGACCTTCTCAAACGAGCTTTCTGGTATTGCGTTGCGATGGAAGTGTAAGTCTTTACTAGTCTCCTCCCTTCGGAAATGTTTATTTGTTTATTTATTTATTTTATTATTAACGTCTACTAAGTAAGCTAGTTATATAAGTCCTTATTTAGGTACTAGGACGGTAGAAGCTGCTAAGTTTAAATTAAGCGTTTACTATGTTTTAATATAATAAAGGAAATAGGAAAGTATTAATTTATTTTATATATTTATTTTTATAAAGGGGGGGGCTATATAAGCTTATTTTTTTTATTAATTTTTAAAAATCCTTATACCTTTTATTACTAAAGAAATATTAAATATAAATAGTTTTAAAGTATATTTTCTTTTTTAATATATTAAAAAAAAAAAAGTTATTATATAATACTTTATAAAGTATTTTTATATTTTAAATTTATTATATTTATAAATAAGCTTAATATTATATTTAAATTTTTTATAATATTTTATAAAGTTTTTATATTTAAATTTTTTAATTAATAGTTTATATAAAATTAAATATAAGAAATATAACTTTAAAAGTATAAAAAAAGTTTTATAAAAGTTTTATTTACTAACTTTATAAAACTTTAAGTAATTATTATTTTAATTATTATTTTATATTTTTTTATATTTTTTTTTATTTATTTTTTAATAAAAGTAATAGTAAAATAATATTTTAAATAATAAAAAGATTTTAAATTTATTTTTATTAATTAATTAGCTTTTTTATTTTTTAATATATTTTTATAGCCTAAGACTTAAGCTATTTTTATAATTATTTATAAAAGTAGTTATTAAGTAATTTAGTATAGTTTTATATAAGCTTTTTAAAATAAAATAAAAGTTAATTTTAAAATTTTATTTACTATTACTAAGTTATTTAAAAAAAGTAGAATTTTTTAAATATTTAAATTTATAAAAGTATATATTTTAGCTAATTTTATAACTTTAAAAATATTTACTACCTTAGTATTATAAACTTTTATATTAATAAAGGGGTTATATATTATAGTTTTTTTAAAGTTATAATATATAATAGTTTTTTAGCTAGTATTACTTTATTTATTTTATAATTTATTTAAGTAAGTAAAAAAAGTAAACTTAAGGAGGCTATTAAATAGTTTTAGGTATTTTTCTATTATTTTTAACTTTAGTAAACTTTTAAAGTCTAAGCCTACTTAAATTACTTTATTATTCTTAGTAAATAAAAAAAGTTAAATTATTTTCTTTACTAAAGTTATAATATATTATAGTTAAATAAAAAAAACCTTAAGGGGGAGTTTTTTATTAATATATTTACTAATTAAATAGTTTTTATTTAAATTTATAAAGTAAGCTATTATATTTAATAAAGATTTTTTTTATATTTTATTTAAAAATTTTAAAAAATTAGTTATTTTAAAGGCTTTTTCTTTTATAATTTTAAGGTATTTTTTTAAAAGAAAACTATAAATTTAAGTATATCTTTAATTACTAAATTAAATCCTAGGAGGTTATAATTTTTCCTTTAAAGTTTACTTTTTTATTATATATTTAAGTTTTAGTTTTATAAAAGTATATAAATTTAGCTTTATTTAAGTTAAAGAAAACTATATTTTTATTACCTTAGTTTAAGGTATTTTTTAATTTTTACTAAAGTTTTTAAATAGTTTTTTTAATATTAACC